GACAGCACCAGAATCAGTACGGCCGGCTCTACGTGTCACGCTTTGCTCTCGTAACGGGTATAGGAGGGCTACGATGACACTCAAGTACAACATACTGCATTCTACAGCATGCACATGTTAAAGTCTCTGTTCTGTATCCCTTTTAAGCACACCCTTTTTCCTAATTCCACCCAGCTCCTATGAGCATCAGGAGGATGACAGAAACCCTTCTTCCTATCGTTCCCTGAATCCCACTGAACTCTCTACAATAGCCAATGAAATCAACAAAATATAACGTTGATATAATTACGTGCTATCTTTTGATACTTAAGTTCCTTAAGTCATCTAACGGGGAGAAGTGCAAGCAATAAAGTGTCCTTAGCGGCTCACACAGCCCTGCATGTGAACAGCTGTGGTGACAGCATAGAAAAAAAAGGAAAACTGCATAGTGTTTCTAGCCTCATAAAGTCATTTAATGTTAAATGTGCATGTCTAATTAGCGAGGTGCATGGCAACCTCTAGTGGTATATGCCTGCTTAGAAAACAACTAACATTCCAATATATGAAGCTATAGGAAAAGCATTTGCCTTAAGTAATCAGTCATCTTCTTGTCACTAATTTTATTAGAATGACATGGTGATGAGATGTCAGAATACAGCTGTTCAGGGAAAGATTCTCCTCTTAATTTCCAACTGTCACACATACTAGAGCAGCCAGGCTAGCTGTAGAAAAGCTGAATATCATGGAAGGTGTTTCCCAAATAGGTTAAAGGAATTAATGCAAACTGACTTGCAGTTTTAAGTGACAAAGCAAATACCTGTACTAATATGCCAGTTAGATGCACAGCTTTACTTTTTGGTAATTGTACTTGTAGAATAGAAACCAAGCAAAGGAAAAACCTACCCTTATTGCAGGTATGTAACGCTCCACCTGGTTGTGCTTTGTTGCTTAGAGACTATACAGCCAATTCTGGCAGTCATTTGTGACAATAATGACATCAACACACATTTTATTTTATTTCTTTGTTAACAGTCTACCAATATAATTTAAAGATAATACAAATGTCAGCCCTCCACAAATGCAAGAGAGAGACAGTGCAGTGCAATATCACCCTTGGCACTGCGGCGATAAAATAGCTAGGTATATAATAATAGGTAATTAAAACCAAACCAGTGGTAACAGCAGATAGAGAAGGGAAGGATCTCAAAGTTAGGGCTGTCTACAATAGAGGACATCCAACATTAAACGAATACTGCCCTGGATCTTATTATAAACCATCTATTACATCTATTTTTACTTCCAGCAGCTGCTTCTGATAGATTGATACAAATCTGTCAATGTTCATGCTTGCTGGAATGTGATACAAATTACCCAACATGATGAAGTTGTATTTTACTGAGCTCTTAAGTACACTACATTGAATACTCCCAGCTAATTCTTTCATAGAACATAGTCTTCAGAATTTAAAACAATTGGCAGTCTCTGCTCAGAATAGGATTAGGAAAAAGCCTGCATGGAAATGGAATTACTTCTCACATTAAGGAAGGAATCATTAGAGCATCTGGTGAGGCTTAAATTATGACTGTCTATTCAGTTGTATTGCTAAGCAGATTTTAAGTTAAGTGTTTCACAGCTACTTAATTTAAAAACCTATACCCTAAAATACTTTATGTAATATAAAGTCCCATCTTCTTTTTAGGCTTTTCCTTCACAGCAGACACTTTTTCATTATGGATACTGTGGTTTCTTCTCTCAGAGATACTTGCACTCTGATGGTAGAACCAGAATAGGAATTTAAATATAAATATTCCGCTTTGGAATCATAGAGCAAGCTGGGTCCATCAGGGCTGGCTAAATTTAATAACAGTGGCTAACAGTCTTTATAAGGTAGGAAAAGGCAGGACAATGTATGCCTCAAAACATCAATCTCTTATGAAATGTATGTGTTCGTAAGTATTTATTCCTATTGCTTTTCTTGATAACTGAAACTTTATAAAAATTCTGTGTATACTGAAATAGAATCAGGTTAAAATATTTCCTTTATGGTGCTTAAGCCTGCCAGGGAACCCAAGGTTGTAAAGCTGCTGAGAAGAAAATGTTACCATACTAGCAATAAAGACTTACTGGAAGTAAGAAGACTATTCCTTCCAGCCCGCCCATGTCCTAACCCCACAGGACATTTTACAACAGATTTTAATATATTTTTATAGTAGGGTCTTTTGACTTATAAGCAATAATGATCATAGTGACAAATTAAATCCCAATCTTGGTGGCCATTTTTGCCTATTGTCCAGTTTTCTACCTGCAAAATAAGATCTTCGGTCAACATTACACATAAAAAAGGGGGGGAAAAAAAAATTAAATCAAACATACTTCCTAACGCCTCTCTTGTTTTTCCGGTTCTGTTTTAAATTTAAATTCACCTCCTTCATTACAATTTCTACACTATACCAATACGGAGCGTCTGGCTACAACAAGGCAGAACCTTAAAAATAACAGCATGGAGTATCTTTGGACTATGTAAGAATATCATATTCTATACAATATATATCATATTGCTGTTTTGTTTTGCTTTTTCAGTTGATGAGTATGCCCACTTTCTGTACCTATCCTTACATTACATCCAACTATAAAAATACAGGTCCAACCCTGCTGGCACCCAACGGTTGGTACAACCAGTATCCCTCTCACACTACAGTTGGTTGGATATTGTTTGGTTATTATTTGTAATACTGCCCAGCTCAGATCCCATGTGAAGTCTCTCCACTAAAAGCCATCGAGAAACCACCCAACAGTAGCTACTAAAAGCTAACAACTTTAGAAGAACTAAGAGTTTCGAATAAGCCACTATGTGTTTGCTCTAAGGTCTTTCTTTCTCTTTGGCACATTTCAAGCATGGCTTTGTTAGTCCTTCATACAATAAAAGATAGATAATTTGACCGACAATTTCAGTGTGACAGAATTTTTTTTTCCTGTTTTCTGCCATTCACCCCTATTGCCTCCTTTCTGCGTGCATCAGTGTTAAGCAACAACAGAAGTCTCCCCGCTTTCAATAAGAATATCAGCACAATTATTTCACAACTAAAATCAAGCAGCAATCTTAAAGTCTCATTATAACTATGCATGTCTAGAGAGATGACAACTAAGGCACCCAAACGTCACAGCAGATTGTTGAAAAGCTGTACACAAGGAGTACAAGAGAATTGCTGGGTGTTGCACATCCTTCCTTGGGTCTTGAGATGGGTCTTATACATCAGGGAGTCAATCTGCCTCAAAGATGCCATTACACATGGTGAAAACTGCATGTGAAAAGGCTGGAGGAGGCTGGTGTGGGGAGGAGCCTCGCAGCACATAAAGGCTCCTTTTACGTTACTGAGTTGTAAGGTTGAGGCGAGACGTATGTACAAAGGTACTGAGGTCGCTGCTTCTCTACTGATGGCTGCCACCTCTTCCGATAAGCCAGCAGACCACATGCTTAGCCATTTCAGAACCCAATTAAATAAAAAAAAAAAAAAATCCAGCTGAGCTTACTTTGAACCATGAGTTTAAATTTTGAACAGTAGATGTCCATAAACTCAAAGCATTTTGACAAAAGCCAAGCCACCCAGAAAAACACATGCAGTGATGCTAGATGACTACAAGATTACTGAATGGTGATAACAGCCGGCTGTAATGGGACTAGCAAGATGATAACCTCTTCCTGGCCCAAAAATAACCAGAGGAACGCATCTTGCTTTGGTCTGCAGAAACAGCAGTAGAATAAAATGGAACAAAATCAGAAACTGGGAACATAAGAAAAAGCTCTGAAGTTGCAAACAAAGTATCACACTAAAAAACAGACCAAGTTTTTGAGCATCAAGGTAGCGTATCTCACACCATGCCAAGATCTATGATTTCAGAGGTCAACATTTGCAAATGCTTGGAAAACTCAGACTCCATGCCTATGATTTGAGAAATGAAGAGAGCAGGGATGTAAGACAATGTCTGTGATAGATAATGGGAAAATAGCTCCAATTCAAACTCTGAACACTCATTATCACTGCCAAGGGTTTGAAAAGAAGGCAAGTATCAAGCAGGGAAAAGGTAATGGCAGAATGCATTCATCCTGGTTACTTGTCCATACTTTTACAACCAACCATTTCCAAAAGAAAAGGGGCTCAGAGAGAATTAAATCCTAAAGAGCAGTGATTTAGAAACAAGATGTATCTCTTGTTCACCCAGTCCTTTACAAAGTGCGCAGGCACGCAATTATCATTTACTTATTTTTGGCACACTGTCTGTACTTGACAAGCACTTTAACAGTTTATTCCAGATCGCATTAACAAGGACCTTCCCTGTTTCTCTTGAAGCACGGAGCAGGGCTTGCTGCCAAGATGAGAAGGATGCCTGATGCATGATTACCTGCCTTTACAAAGGGGTCTGCAGCACAGATTCAAACTAGGAAGGACCAACTTCAATATCTACTTTAAAATTAAGGCCCTGTTTTAGAACCAGAGCAGATATTGACTATTTATTACTATACAGACTAATAAACTTTATCAGTTGAAAAGCACTGGTGTGGGTTTTATTGCCCATCTTTGCCAGGCATCGTCACAAAATGATCATTGTGTTTTGTCTGATTTAACAAATAGATCCTTTGCCAAATATGCAGGAAGAAGTAAAGCAAGTTGAAAATCCAGTCTGCATTGTACTTGAGAACCACCACTCAGTGCATTTTTATAATAACGGGATACATGACTAAAAAAAGCATAATTCACACAAATCCCTGAAAACCTTCCAGTTTGAAGGCAGGTACCGTTCTGTTCAGAGAGTCAGAAGTTTCTCAGAGAAACTAGTATTTTCTATGCATTCAGAACAGACTCAAGTATAAAGCAAATAAGGTTTATTCTGGGATTATTTAGTTATTCAGTTATCATTTCAGCTATTTAGCTCATCAGTATCTATTAAGGCATATAAAATTCAAGTTTCTCTACTCCTGAGTTTCAGCAAAGATGAGTTTCAAGAGAAGTCTTTATATTTACCTGATGATCCTCTGAGCAGCATACTGATGAAGTGAGCGGAACTGTGCTGACATATTTGCTAAGGCTGCCAGACAATTTGTATGAAGGTATTTGTCCTGTTGGAAAGAAGAGGAAAGAAAAAAAAAACCACATCAAACTGTCCTTTTGGTATATACTGACACCTATTGCAGGAATCATTCAAAAGACTGAGTAATATATGTTGCTTTAAAGGACACTGTCAAAAGCATACAGCAGAAATGCAAAGTGTATATAGTTGGTCATATTTTAAATATGTTTTCTTAAAATATAAGGCTTATAAAAGAGTGATTGTTTCATACGAATTTCAGAATGTATATGTATACAAACATATGTATATGTGTATGTCTTCATATCTTTAGTAATGTTGATTCACAATGACATCATAAACGTAACAAATACTGAAAGACATTCTCCTCTCTCTCCTTTTTGTAGTCTTAATCCTAAAATTTTCTGCTTCATAACTCATCTCCCTATCAACTCTTTCAAAGCATTCTATATATCTCACAACTATAACCGTATGATACTTCAGAGGTCTGGTCCCCTTGCTAGCATCCCTGAAACCATTTGAGCAGATAAGCATTTAAAGGATGGCCCTATTGAAGTCAAAGGTTTTCACAGAACCAGATGTGTCCACTTATCCAATCCAATAGGGATTTATTTCCCTATTCAAGTCTAAAATATGCATTTACATAACATAACAGATTCCAAACCCTACAAATATATGCCAAGAATGTCCTCGTTACTTCCAATTCTTCTGATCATAAAAGTGAAATCCATAAGTTTTCCAATTTAAAATATATTTAAATATTTTTTGCTACTTTTTCATGTAAAAACTTCTGTGCCTTTAATTGTTGAAAATATTCAAAAGTGCTTGAAACCATACTTATATGTTTGAGATAAGGTATAGAATCAAATACTTGACAAATGCACAAAATCTGATACGAGGCTATAAAGTTGAAGCAGTTTTGCTTTGCTAAAGCTCAGGAAGGTTTTATGGCCTGGTTACTGTCTTAATTCATAAAAACACTAACAATAGAGCTGAAATTCCCACTTCTGAGTAACCAAATAGAGACAAGCAACCTATAAGGAATCATTTCTACTCATCAGCCTAAGGAACTTTTCCTTCTCGTCTGAGGATGAGCAGTTCAGTGCCTGGATCACAGACTTTAGAGAAACCTACTCAATGAATTGAATGATAATACAGAGATGGTGTTACTAGTTCAGAACCACTTAATACTGTGCTTAGTTAATATGGCTGATCTTCCCAGTCCTTCCCTCTTGTAAATTCAGATGCCAACTGGTTGCAACAGAATGAAGAAAAAATCCAACACCCTGTTTGAAATTGAATTAATGCTGTTGGAGTTAGAAATCCACACTACGTGCAGAAATGCTACACGTAACTCTTACCCTTGTCCGTGTCATGTTGTACTGGATGGTTCTTATCACAACTAGTATCAGGAGACTCCCAAGTGAGATCTCTGTTAAGACACGCTCAGCATACCAAGTGATATTTTTCAATATCTGAAAAAAAACCACAAACAACAAAGTTCTTCAGCACCTAGGTCTGAATAAGAACGTAGAAAGTTGTCTGGACTCTCACATTCCTTAAGATAGGTAAATTAGCTTCCAACCTCTAATGTGACCAAAACCAATTGGATTCTAAAGCAAGAAGATTTAAAAAAAAAAAAAAAAAAAAAAAAGAGACAGATCTCTGCAGTATTACCACCCAGTAGATCTCATCAACTTTATCATAAGTCATGTGGAAACACACTAAGTGTAGAAAGATGATTAAATTTGGCAATTCCCTAATTTCTATGCCCTGTGCCACCACATTCCTATATTCTTTTTAATCCTACCCTTTACACTTTATAAAGTCTCCAATTCCACCCTAGCCACCTGAATAATGTTGCCAATTCCTCCTCATTTTCCCTCATTACAAGTTGGGCAAGAGGCAGCACGTACGAGCTCTGACTGATGGGCAAGAGCGCACATGCTGAAGGATGCAGGGCAGATCAACAGGTTAACTGTTGACTTCACACTGAAGCCTTTCTCTTGCCAGAGGTGAGGTCTCTTCCCCTAATAGGTTAGAAAAAGTCATCAGCTAGGTTAAGAGCTTCATATCTTTCAGTGCTCTCCACTATCCGGGTGGATGAAGTTTACCACCACTTTGGACTTTATTGCAGAAGGAGAATCAATCCACTCTTTCCTCTTCCTCAGCCGATCAACCTAGAGTGATATAGCAAACACATGCACAAACCCCCCTGCCTTAAAGGACTAGTAAAAATTAGTCAAAAGGAACTGCCCAAGAACCTCCATATCCTCCATATAACTTTGATATATTTGATATATTAAGTATGTTTCATTGAAACTTCATGTTCAGATGTCTTAAAAAAAAAAATCCAACCCCCACCAGCCTCAACTGATCAACTTCATTAATTAACCTCTTCTCTTAAAAAGTTGTATGAAAACACACTTCTGACTATATCCCTTCCCTATCAGCTCCAAACCCAAAGCAAAGTAAGACTATCCTATCAAATACACAGCACGATGACAATGAAGACCTTTGAGAAATGCATCCAACAGTTCCTCTCACTGCAAAATTTGCAGTCGTGACAGACCTATGCGTGATTAATCAGAAACATTCAAACCAGCAGAATTAAAAGGAAAAAATTTTTTTTTTTAAAGGAAGCATTTTCACAGGACTCCTCCTTTGGGGCAGAAAAGCAGTCACCACCTTCACAGAACCGATTTTTCTCAGCTACCCCCAACTTGATGCCCCCTGTAATTGCCCAGCTGCCCAGGCCACCCATCAAGGCACTTGCTTTTCAAGTACTTCACCGCAGAGCATCCCAAGCCGAGCTCTGCAATGGGTATCATGGCTTTTCCCAGCATTTGGGATAGGAGTATTGCTGGCAACATCAGGGTATTATTTAACACAAGGCGCTGGGGGATATTGTATTTCCCTTAGCACTGCGTAGGATCCTACCGCAAGTAATACTTAATAGTCAAGACATAATTACACGTATATTTTATCAAAAACCTTAGTCAATAGATCCTAAAGCAAAACCCAAGTGGAAAAAAAAGAATCCTATGAAACTTATTCTAAACAAGGGTAATACTTTATAAGTACTATCTTTAAAATGCCTTTTTGGTTGTTTTTTTTTTTTAAAAACATTTTTTCACCTTCCAGGCTCTGCAAATTCCACATGCACGTACATTTCTTTCATTTACCTCCCACCCTCATTCTCACCTTAACTGTGTGTCTCTTGAAGCTCTTTGACAGTACAAGAGACATTTGAAATAGCAGCTTAATTAGGATTCATCAAACTCTCTCCTCCCTCACTTTATTCCTAGCATACCCAAAAGCCTCTCTTTCTTGAAGTATTTCAGAGAAGCTGCATTTGCCTATGCTGAAAGATCCTGGTGGGTTTTTTTGATGAACCTCCTAAAAAGCAGGAACCTCCTAAAAGGATTCTTACCCATTTATGCTTTGAAAATCATGCATACAAAAGGCCTATGCAACAAGAGGTACATCCCAAATATCATTACAGACTAGATACACTAAAATGAAAAAAGATATAGCCACTGAAGACATACAGGAGGCTCAGGAAATTAATGTTAGTAGGTAAGCTGATGCAGTTTGAGATATAGAAGTCATTTCTGTACCATATATGAAGAGACAAAATAAAAGTTCAGACCATTAAAATTAAAAAAGTATCGCTGTTATCATATGCTACCTAGTACCTGACTTTTTGTCAGCACTGTCCCATTTCCCACAAGGGAGCTGAAGTGAAGCCAATAATTATAATCTATAGATGGGAAAACCACTGTTTAATAGTAGTGCAGTGCTGGCTAAGGTGACAAACATCCCCAGCAACAGGTTCAAGTGTGACAATTTCTGGTAAACACCTTCTGCTAAAAGGATAGAAAAATCAGAATATGGAAAAAAGAGAAAGACTTGAGAGGTATTTAAGGGAAGAATGGTCAAGGCTGAGGAACAAATAGGAAAATGAAATCACTACAAGAGAGGTTTCCACATATAGCAGGCTATGAATGGATGCGGAAACAGGTATAATTTCTGGTTATAACAAGTCACTAATACTATTTTAAGAGAAAGCGATTATGGTATAAATGAAAGCAAGTCATCCAAGCAGTTTTGGTAAACAAGGACAACTAGTCAGGACGAACAACATAAATGATTAACAGGAGCAGCCTGAAAGACAAAGAAAAATCCACATGTATTTTCACAAAACAGGCAACTGAAAAGTTAAAAAGCTGTTAGTTGAGTAATTCATGGATTACACATACGAACTTCACTGCAAGAAGTTACTCTGCTAGAGAACTTGAACATCCCAAGGCTGCTAAGCATAAACCTATGAACAGATATAGCAAGTTAATGGGTTACTTCACAACTGCAAAATGCTAAAATAAGTGCAGACAGTCACTCTGGTTGCAACTAATTGTTTGCGATTTCTTAGAATCAGCTTATTTATGACTATGTGAATATATCTGTTTTCAAGACAAGATTTTTATATAAAGAAATAAATGAACCAGTTTGACAACGAAAAATATCTCAAGCTGCGCACTTGAACCTTCTGGAAGAAAAATATACTGTTATCTGAAGAATCATGTATGATCATTAAGTCATGGTTACACTCTGTAATACATAAACATAAGAGGGATAAGTTGTGGTTGCACCTTTCATTTCCTGACTTCTGAATGCTTAGATTACTGAAAATTTAACATACTCTTTAAAACAAAATGTAACTATGAAAATGGGTAGTATAAAATACTGTTTGTTTTGACATGATGCACAATATCAATCCAAACCAATAGCACATTTCCAGATGCTGATTGAAAAGAAATTTCACCCAACCTTCTCTAAAACAATACCCATGGGTTTGGGTTTTTTTTCCCCCTCTGAGACAAAATACACTTACCCCAACAAAAAAAGATTAACTTATTGATTAAATCCCTAATAAGCTATTTCTTATAGTCTCTCATTTATGAGTGAAATAGCAAAGCAACCTCCTCCCACAAATGAAACGAGGGCCATGTTTCGTCCTACCCCTTTGGTGCTATTTTGTGGGGCACATCCCTGTACCTTACCAACCACAGTGGAAGTTCCTTGATTCACGCTCGATGATCTTAAAGGTCTTTCCCAACCTAAATGACTCTACGTGGCTTCCACCATCGCCAAGCAGCAACAGGAGCATCCCTGGGAGCACAGTCCCATCCCACAGGAGCTGGAAGCAGCACCTACGCAGCTTCAGCTCATCCCTGTGTATCTCAACTGATACATGACCCCTGGAGAAGGGAGGATGCAAACAGCCCAGCCGGCTCTAGGAGCAGCAAAATGAGAATATGCAATCACCACGGACATCAGGCCACTTCCAGCTACGTATCTGCTCCGCAGATGGAAACAGACTGCTCCTCTTCCCCCCGAGATTTATAATTTGGTCAAATTTAGTCAGATTATCAGCAGCACAGCCCTAGCACAAAGGCCACTTGCCAAATTTCAAATTCCAAATGCAAAACATGAAGTTACCAGAGCTTGTTAAAGAACATGTTGACAGATGTAACCATGGACAAGACATGCTCATCCCTAGTCTCACTCCAGAAACAGCCAATGGTGTTTTTAAAGTTTCAGTGAGAACCAGCCCCCCAAAATTACATTCACTGAGACAACTATGCCTTAGAATAGTCCACTACTCTTAAAAAAAAAATAAATTTCAAAGTTAAAAAGTTACGTACAAGTCCCTGTCACCTCTACTCTCCTCTCCCCCGTACTGAAGGAAGCAACCATAGCAGGCAGGCAATGAAATGCCTATTTAAAAAACAACAGCAACTACCACCATCCCTCACCTGGTTTTGGGTTTCAGAAACATGAAACATGAAAGTACCTTAAATTTCAAAATCATCTACCTGAAATCAGTGCCACAATTTGAACAATCTCATTGGTTTGCAGATAATATTAAAAAGGGGAAAAAAGAAAAACAAAAAGCTCAGACCTGGGATAGTCTTGCAAGAATAATTAAAAAAAAATTTTTTTTTAAAAGGTTTTGATTAATTACTCTTTTTAGCACCAGGCTCCTGGACACCTACAACTCAGGGTGCAAGAACTGCAGATGCAAAGAACAGGAACTCGGTTCTATATATGCCGAGCACCGCGATTCTCAGTTTCCCATAACTTTGTTTGTGAGATATTTCTTAACACATTAAAAATAAACCCAGTTAAATTGTGATTTTACAGTCTATCGCTATTTACTACAGCATGAAGTACTACGATACTACTATAGGTTACTGCTACATAAAGTATTATATGATGTTATTTTGAAATCTGGTGTAATTTTATTTACAGTTTCATAAATCAGAGAAGAAAAATCACCAATATTTGTCCCCTTTAGGGAATTCTTGCATTTACTCATTTACTCTGTTGTTATTATTATTATTAGTGAAAGAAATGGAGCTCTATGTGGTTACAGGGACCTAACTGCATTTAGCCAATTGCAGGAACAGGACCTATGGTTTTGATCATATTTTCCAGGCAGTTAAGACCACATTCATTTTAAACAAAAAGCGCTTCAGCAGTCAAAAAGAGTTTCTGTGGTTTCCTGAGCTCTTTACCAGTCGGTATAATCACAAGATTTATAAAACTGTGCTTACTAAAATTAATCTTAAAAATCAATAAATAAATGTGGGTTAAATACCACAAAGGAAAATAGCCCATAAATGGACTGTACAGTCATGCTTCTTATAAGAACAGTACACAGGATACACAGCAGCAGAGAGAAAAACAGGTTGATCTAAAATACAGCAAATCTTTTTTTCTTCATACTTTACCCAAGTGATGGGGAAAAAAAATAATCCTGCTGCAATTGCTAAAATTTGATAAATACTTGCAGAGAATAAGAGTTTCATTCCAGTTGTGTAACTGACACTAGATGTTCATATCTTACAGAAATGCCTAAACAGGTTTCCCAACTCCCTTCATTTTGCTGCCCTGTAATACCCTCTCAGCCTTTAGGAGATGTGGAGTTATTATTTAAGAAAGCATGAGACTAATTTCTTACTTTATACTGTACTTTTTTAATAGTAACTTGGTCATTCGTACCTGGAAACACCCACTTAAAAAAATCAAAAAGATGGGTGAGGGGAAGTGATGTATCAATATGGTTTTGAGTCCTTTTTCCACAAAGTGGAGCACTAACTACACTTATTCCCCATCACGGGATCTGTAGGAACCCCCTACCCATATATCCATTCCCCAACAGTTCACAAGCTAAGATGTGATGCTCACATTTGTTTTCTGATATCCACATCCCTCTGTAAAGTTCAGGAATGGCATAGGTCACGTAGATCAAGAAGGTAACTTTATTTTTTTGAAGTATAACATAATGTATTTTTTCTATAAATAAGGAAGCCTTTCTGCAAGGAATATGTAAGAGTTAGGATCACAGTCATCGACTCTTGTCTGTATCATAGTTTATTTAGGTGACTTTCGGAGTGCGCAGTTTAAGATTTGAACAAGAGGAGACCTCTTCTTTCTCCTTCACTGCATCCAGTCCATCCACATGTCACCAAGATTAAGAGCATGGGGCAAGAAAAAGCCTTCCAATTCAGTAAGAAAAGCACAGCAAGGGTGGAAAAGCAATCTGCTCTCTCCTTTGGCATGAAACATGCCCTGTCCATCAGAGAATGGAGAAAAGGGAAGAGAAAGAGTAGTAAGGAACAGAGGAGGACAGGAGGAAGGGTTAAGGTTATTCCACATCTATCCTCTGCGGTGTCATAACACTCCATTGGTTTTTGATGGTAAAAGTTTCCACTTTCACAGCTTTTTCTGCAGGAGGGCCGACAGGAGAAGTTGACATAGACAGGCCTGTAGGCTCAGGCATTTTACAGCCACCTCATTATCTAGCTGAGAAGCAAAACCAGCAAAACTCTGGCCACATAGCGTTCTGAATGAATGGATGCTTCACACCAGACACTATGGAGTGGGAAAACGCAACCGCAGAGTAAAAGAAAGAAGCAGTTAGTGAAAGTCTGAATTAAAATCAAAGATTAAATTGAGAAGATGATGGAAGAAGCAAAGGCAGGACTGAGAAAATCAGTGCAGGGTAAAAGGAACAAGGTGGGGTTTGGGTTTGTTTTTATTAAAATGAAGGCAGTAAACTAATATCCACATTGCACAGAAAACACTACAACTATATTGGCAGGGTTAGCTGCAAAGGCAAGAATAAACTGGACAAGAAAACTTGATTTATGTTTTCATTCCACAGCTGGATCCTCATGAACAATTTTAGGGAAATCTTCCACTTTTACTTATCCAGTAAAGAATTTATTGAAAGACCATGTGTAAAGTCTTAAAAATGAATGAAGAATGACGGGGAAGAGACTGAGGAAGGAGTGAAACCTTGTCTGCTGTACTCTAACCTGAAAAAAGCTCAATTTAGGAGAGAAGTTAAATGACTTAGTGATATGGAACCCCAAAATACACATCACACATGTACACGCACGTGCGTATGTATAGGTTCAAGGCACACGAAGATGAGGCAGAAGAAAGCTTCAGGAAAATGTTGTTTCAGTCAACTGCATGGTTACTATAGCTGCTCCTCCTTAAAGCCGCTTCCTAAAAGGTACTCCCAGGAAACTGCATATAAACATCATCTCTTCTTGCTTTCTACATAGAGAGCTATAGGAAATAATCTGAAATTTCAGAGAATAAATACTGTAAGTCTCTACTGCTTGGCATCAAGAAAAAAATGCCAGTTCCCTCCAAAACAGGCTGGAAATTTACCTGGGAGAAGAGCTCTGTTTCAATACCTTGAAACTTGCTTCCAGCTTTTTGCATTTCATTAATTTCACATAACCCCAAATGAGAGTTTCCATGTCCCAGACAAAAAATTAAATCAAATCAGTGCGGACATCTTCTGCATTATCATAGCTTTAGAAGCTAGGAAACTAGAACATAATTATCCAAGGTATTCTCCAGCACAGATGGTCAAGGCCCATCAAAGCTAGTCAAAATTTGGATCATATTATACGGACAACATAAAATAGATATTAATCTAGCAGAAAGACAGAAAAAGAAATGCCAAGTAAGGAAGTAACATTCAGCCTGGAAAAAAACCCCTCCAACTAAAAGCTCCTCTCAGCTGCATCAAACTGGTTAAGCGAAGTTTTTCAAGAGAAATAAAAAAGGTTTTCTGTTTTTCTGTCTCTTCTAGCCCCACCACTTCCATGGCAAACACTCAGCATCTTTGAGGCAGCCTGCCTGGCTATTACTACATTAATTTGTAACAGGAAGCACCAAAAAAAGACAGAAAAAGAGGTATATGCAGCATCTCCTCTACAAGAGCGAGCGCATTTGTTCACTCAGGAAATCTTTGAAATTACTCTTCTAACTTCAGGCTACTAGTCCTTACAAAAGAAATACGTATATGCCATCAAATTTGGACAAACACAGCCTCTGCTGAGGAAAGAGATATACATATGTATCTTTATAAAAATAAATATTTAAACGATTTTTAGACCTGAAGAATTATTTACCAAAACAACTCACCACTTCATGAATGGATCGGTTGAAGCCATCATCCTCTGTAAGGATCAGCAAAATGATAAGAGCCATATAAACATGGTGTGAATTCCTTTCTTCAACATGATAGAGAATTTCAAGAATTGGCAGAACCTTTAGGGAAGGAAAAACGTGCGTATTAGTTTAGTTTTCAAATACCTCAGACAATAAACAGAGGAGACTCTAAACCTCCTGTGTATCACCCTGCCCTTAACAATATCATAGCAATTCCTCCCTCTTGAAATAACCACCCCTAAATAGTGACGTGCAGCGTTCAAACACCTTCCATCTGTTTTATTCTGTCTCCACAAGAGAGTCTAAACAAATTCTTTCTTGTGGTCAGACATGGAATTTCAATTCCTAATAAATGAGATTTCCAGCCATACCAGTTACCATAGACTCTGAAAGCTTTAGTTCCCCTCTAGACTATGGGAAAATAAAATTGTTAAACAAGATTTTCACACGTTCAAGCAGGAAACCAATTGTTTCTAACCATTTGTGCTAGCACAAGCCTGGTCTGAAAGGACTGTCCTCATCAAACATAGCCAGGCATATTGGATCTGAGGTGCACAGAGGCATTTCAAGACCTGAAACTCAAATCCCATTTTGGTGTGTGGAGATAATCCCAGAAAAGAACCAGTTTGGGTTGGATTAAGACTAGAAAAGGCCTGTTTTTCCAATTCTAGATAATATGCAGCCAAAGAGAACTGACATTATGATGAGAGTTCAGCCCAAGGTCTTGCAACATTTCCACCAGGATGAACAGCTTAAGCCAAAGTCTTGCAATAATAATGAAAATGAGATTTCATTGCAACAGCAAGCATACCTGAATGCTAGTCTAAAGTTAATCCAGATGCAAACGTTGTCTCTCTACCAACTGAAAATTAGCTTTCCACTGGCTCAGTACAACGTGGCTTCCCCAGGCTGCAGAAATAGGCCTAAATCGCAAAATACCCTGGAAAAAGGAACTGGAGAAAACTCTCAATTCCAAGATAGCGGATGAGGTGCAGAATTTGTTCCAAGAAGCTTCTAGACACCTAAAGACTTTCTGTTTTTCAAAACAGGCCAAGTGCAGTAGGATGAATCATGTGAAACCTATTCTGGTGAGTGGCCAGGACACCGAGTGCTTCACAAGCCTCTGAAGTTACCAGAATGTTCTCTCACAATCAACCAGTCCCAAAACAGTTGGAACATATTAAAACACACAACAGTTTCTATTAAAACCAATGAGATTGATCTAAATGCTGCAGGCCACAAAACCTTTTGACGGATGCTTTGGCCAAGGTCAAGACAATACCACAACAAAAGCAGAGAGAAAAAGTATTTACACATTGCAAACATCCTTCCTTTACCATTTCAACAGATCCTTCACAAATCTCTCTCTCCAGTTGAAACTGGAGTCAGTGTCTTTGTGTTTTGTGAATATAGGTCTTAAGAGTAAAGACCAGGTTTTCACTAGAATATCTACATAGCATATAGCAAAAAAACATTAGTCCTTTTCCTTGGATGGGAGAAAAGGGAGTCAAACATCACTGCATTAGTCCGCTGTTCAAATTATTTCCACCTCCAATATTTATATCTCATGTAGCTTTGCACTGCATAAGCACAAAGTCATTTCCATGTCCAAGCGTTACGATAAGCTGCATGTAGCAGGAAGCAATGTAAAACTACTGAAGATTTGCATTTACAACTTGACTTTGCAGAGAGAACAACAGAAGCCTTTCTGAAGGTAACCAGTGGAACAACTTCTTAGTTTTTAAGACAGCTTCCAAATAGCTGTGTCTGTTAATTTTTACAGCTACTCAAAATTGAATATACTGCCTTATAAAGTACATGCCTTGCACTCCTTCAGTGTAACTGTGATGCAGCCTGGTTAGTGCTAAATAATACCATACACAACACTCCGGCAAAACATATTCCTTCACAACAGCCCAACATATCTCCTCTGTCAACACCCATTACTATTAGGCCAAACTGTAGCTGAAAAAGCGCATTTGTGTTCCTTAAGTGCTCCAAGTCCTAAAAGTGTGCTGCTGCTAGAAACTACATTAAAAAAGGGTACCTCGATTCTGACATTAAGACATTATAGATATTTCCATATGAGCTGATATGTGAAAGTGCTCTTACTAAAATTTCATACTAGCTAGTGAAATCACTCTTACTCTGAAGAGTGATTTGGCTCTCCAGTTCACCGCATTCAGTCTTCCTGTCCCAAACACACCTTGCAAGCTTTCAAAACCTCTTCTTCCCACCTCCTCTCCCCCGGCCATGCTTTCCTTTCCACTCCTCTTTCAGACTTCTCTCCATACACATACCAGACCAAACTCAAGGAGGCAAACGGCAACCGAACTCCCTCTACCTGCCATTTCCAGATGAAAACTGAATCAATTCATACAGTGTCTATAACCCTTCCTCCTTCAAACACTTTTTCCTTTGTATACTGGTTGCTGACGTACACACATCTTTAGGACAACTATTACCATTCTGAGAACAAAACCTATTTGACAAGCCACCACTTCAATCAAAAAGAGTTAGGATATAAGATTAAGATTAAATTTTAATTATATTAAAATTTATCTAGAATTGTAACCAAAATGCATTTCTACACTTTTATGTTACACACATACATTAAAACTTTTATAGCCGTCTTGTTACACAATGGCATTGTCCAGCCACGTACTGAGAAGACAATAACCACTTCTTTTTGTATTGCTGGCCCTTTTATTCATAGTCATTAAACTATCATTGCTGGACTACTACTAACACTCCTCCATCAGGAGCAGCTTTTAACTGGCAAGACACAGCCACCATTAAAAAGTTATGTTTAATCCCCAAAACAAGGGGCAGGTAAAAACAGACACTGAAAATTGCAGGTGCTATATTCAGTCCAAGGTCAGGAACAGTTTCCCCAGCAAAGAGTTTTAAAATAGCTTGTCTTTAATATACAACAAAATACAAGACTGCATAGCCACACGAGTAACCTGCTTAAACCAAATTTATACCACAGGAAAAAATACTGCTGTACCATCAGTTGATATAAATACATCATCATATACCTTATTTCGGTCCAGTCATGCTGAGCAGCAACAAAATGTCAACTCAGCAGCCAAAGCAAACATATTCAATGGGAATAGCTTATTTCTTATAAGCAGATCTCACACTGGTATTTTTACCTGCAATATGGGTGGCAACTGCTCTTTCAAACAGAAAAAGGCTCAAAGTTCTCCCATCCACAGACCACGACACTATGCTTAATTGTCCCCTATTTCACCAGTCTCACCACTTCCTGGAGAATCCTTGCAAGCACTTTCAGTAAGACAGGCAAATTCCAGATGTGAACGTCTCTAACAGCATCAGATATTCAACCCAATTATTTTATAAAATTATACAAAGTCACATGTTGTAAGGTACAGAAGATACACAAACATCCTATTCATTCTACCAAGCAGACTTATTATAAGAACAAAAAGATACATGGCCCTACTAATGATAAAGCATTATAAAGCACAACAGAAGATGAAGGTATTTATCTCTGACAGAGGTAGATTCATACACAAATTAGGAAGCAAGCTGAGACATTATCTATTACAACAGTTAAGAAAAACACACTGAATCAATTTATAAATTAAACAAAAGTTACAAAAGAGCAAAGACATTTTAAAAACCCCTAGGAAATGTCACAGACCATCTGCTAGTGATGCTTCCTGGGCACCAAAACCAAAAAGAATTAAAATAGGGGAAAACACAACAGATGTGATGCACTGAGTGCAGTGAAACAGGAACAACCTGCAAACCGCCTAAAAGTTTAAGATGAGCGCTCAGCTGACTGCTGACGTGATCTCTCATATAGCACAGACCCCTATACTTCACCCAACTGCCTCTGTATGAAGAAGCCACTGACTTCGGCCATATTCCTCCAAAAAGTCATCCACCCTCATTCAAAGCTATCCCTAGAGAGCACTGTTTTGCCTCTGAATTAATTACCTTAACTGTTTTGCTCCCATATCTCTAAGTTGTGGGCTTCAACCTCCAGGCTTTAGTTCTTAGCACATCTCTGCAAGCGGAGAGTCCTTTCTGTTCAAGGCTTTCCCCTTGCAAAGGCACGTACGCATCCTGATGCTTCTCAAGCTCTTTTCTGACCAACTGAGCTAACTTTCTAAGCCTCTCACAGTTTTATTGTTGATTTTAAAGCAAAAAAAAAAAAAAAAAAGTTTTTCTACACTCTCTCCATTTTTCAATAGCCTGTAAATATTTCATGAAGTATGGTAGTACACCACCAGAATAGCACGTAGCGTGTTAGCACCACTCCTGCAGTTGCCATATAGGGAAGGAAATAACCAGCTCCATTACTCCTGCCCCTTCGTCTCGTTTACAAGCCCAAGACTGAATTAGCCTTTTTCGATGCAGGGTTGTAATTGGGACATCATGATTTCTTCGTCCAGTAACCCTCCCACCCCCAATCCTTTCTGTGTCTGGCTCAGCCTGTGTTACTAAGCAATTAAAAGTGCTCTTCTCAGTTGGCTGTGGCTCATCCTTACCTACTAGCCTGCTAAAAACAAGAGGATCGGACACAGATGTCAGTAATGTGTCAGTAGGGATCACAAAAAGCAACAGTGTTAATGAAGAGCAAAATAAGAGCAGACAGTTTCAAATTTTGGTATTAAAAAAAATAAATCAAACAAGCTGTTGACTTTTCAGTGATGCTTTTCTCAATTTTCTCAGCTTTTCCCACAAACTGTTTAATGTTGCTGACTATTTCTGTGATTTTGGGAATTTTTTTTTTTTTTTCCTTTTTGAGGGAAGGAAAGATAGGTGATAATATATGAAAATATCCCACATTGCAGAGCATCTGAGTACCTGCATCTGGATTTGTTTTGACACATGCACTTCATGCTTTTTCTGGAAGTTTTACAATATATCAGACATTATAATTATAAAACAATGCACACACTTAACCTTTACTTCTCTAAAGGTAAATCGATATGGCCAGTAGCTATGAAACATGTCATATCACATACTAACAGCCCAGAAAATTAAATATGACCATTTGTTCACAGAATTCACACAAAATGACTCAGCTCTCACCTAGATAATCTGCAGCAGACTACACAGGAGTTCAGTCTTGAATCAATTCAATATCAACCATCTCACCCAAGTTTGCAAAGAGTGGTGTCTATCAACTCTGATTTTAGCAATACATCTGCTAGAACTTGGACCGAGACCAAACTTATTCCATATCTGCCATCAAACAGGCAAGGGATCTAATTATCTGGCAAGATTTCAAATATTAAAATGGAAAGGGTTCTCTATTCCGTTACCAATTCCCCTAGACAGCCATTATCTTATTAAAGGAATGCTTTTTAATAAGTAAGATTTGTTAAAGTGGTTTGTGACATTACTAAACGTAGTGGGGAGCATAAGCTAATTTATAACCTACAAAAACCGTACCAGGTGTCTGTTATATTGGCCATTAACCACAATCCCATTTAAAGCAGTTAAAACGTCACTATAGTTGCATTTCTATAAAATCTGTCAGCTGCTCCTTGAGGAGTTTCAGCCTCAGGTCAACCCAGTAAGACATTTGGCATATTAGTCAAGTTACAGTTCATTTTGTTAACTATTATCCCTGTATGCACACAGTAAGCTTGTGTAACTTTTTGGCTGGAATATCTAAAAAAGAAAAAGAAAAGAATGAATAGTACGATATCTGCTACCAGTTGCTTTACACTGTGCCCAGACGTCAGCAGGTTTGACCTGGATCAGAGCGGGCACTGAGAAAGACGGAATCAAAGACAGCCTGGTAGCTTTAGCAGTACTATCTTTTACTGCAGTGACATGTTTAGCATCATATTCCTGAGATGACATAATAAAAATCAGTGAGTGAGCTGGAACTCGTGAATAAGTGAGTCAGAACCTACTGCCCCCACCACAGAACAGGGGACACTGGCAGCTGGTGACACCCAAACTTCCAGGACCACCCCTTTGTGATGAGTGTAAGGCAAGCAGAGCAATACTTACAAGATTTTCTATGTCCGTTCGTGCCAACACATACGTCCGTACGTTGCCGTTTTGATGCAGAAGCATATATAAAAGAAGAGTCGCTTGATCCGATTTCTGCTGCTCACACAAAGCTGTGTATAAACTGTTAAAATTAATCTGGAAAGCGTGTGGATTTGACGATGAAAAGGCAGTGCTATCTGAAATAAAGAAATCAAAAAACCCAATCCTTAACAAATACATTTACCATCCAGCTATTTGTTAACTTTATAAACTCTCTCAGTGAAATATTTCATACAGACACCACAGTAAGGAAGAAACAAAAGTCATCCGTAACTCTTATCACCGATGATCATAAGCCTCAATAGGGTCTCAAAAAGCTTCAGTTGTGCCAAAAAGCTGAGGTGGTCCTCCCACATGAGGTCCAGTATGAGCCCTGTATCTGCACAAGACACTCATCTTTCTTTATAAAGCTATTCTATTCTTCCAAATGGCTTCCACTGTCAGAAAGGAAGGCAAACCCAGGAGCTGCTGCTGCAAGGAGGGCAGCTACAGTGTCTTCTCTGGGACCAATGCACTGATGATTCATGTATTTCCAAACCCTGCACCCTAAACTTTCAGGTTTAGGTCGCTGGCATCAAGGTGGAGTATCTCCTATCCTTTTCTTGGCAAAAAGGGCATATGCACATAGGTCAAGACTATCAGGATATTTTCAGGGAAACATAGTTGTGGTCAGGACTTTAAAGATGTGTGTGTGGTGGGGAGTTTAGTGGGTTAATTGAAGTGATTTAAAACACCACATCATATAGTCTAACATCCCTCAAAGTAACAACAGTTTGTTCATGTTCACGATACAATCCATGCCAGAGCTGGAAGTGAGAATAAAACAGATTTCTGTTCACAGAACCTTTTCACAAGAAGCTTTACCAGTTTCAACAAAAACGTCCATCAGCACAGATCTCTAACATCTAGGAATTTCCAGTGGAAATGGAAAAAGCAAGTGTGACAGTCGATGCACTCATACTCATGTCAGAAAGCCAGACTCATGTCCTTATTTAGCCTCCTGATCTCCCCAGGTCAGAGATTTTTGCCTTTGCTTTCTTCACAGAAAAAAACCTTTGAGAGTGCAAGGCTTTGTTCCAGTGCAGAGCAGGTACATTTCTCAACTCTCAAAAAGCTTCACAGACATGTCTATAAAGTATTTTCCCGTCCAGCTCTGTTCAAAAACATCCAACAAACACATGCATCTTCTTTGATGATATGTGAAGTAGGACGAGTCTGCCTTTTTGGGCTGATTTATTTCAGCATCCTGGCAACTGAATACAAAGGCTATCTTTTCTGAGCACACAAACAAGCTATGCATATGGAAAAATTACAGCAATTTCATGGCAAGATGATATTCTGGGAACAATAGCAGTTTGGATACTCAAGTATATCAAAGGTCTGGACTTAAAAATTTCCGTATTACTACAAACAAGATGTCCAAAGTTGAAGAATTTAACTAAAATTCCCTAGTTCCCACAATAACAGACTACAGATCTCTGAATTGTTTATCGTTTATTAGAAACGCATTAAGTTAAGAAAGCTCTGCTGTATAAAACAGCATGACAACACTACTACTACTCCTGCACAGTGATTTGTGGACAGAAGGGATTTTAAGGAGAGGAAGAAAAGACTCAGAAGAATAAAGGAAAAAAACGATGCAAATTTCAAAACCTGCATTTTTACAAGGCGTTTTACAGCCAACTGTATTACCATAGCCAGCATAATAGGCAGCAACTATTGCATTTCATCCAAATCGTTCTTTTTCCGCAAACCCTTAAAGATTTCTCAGATATGATAGATTGCATCACCACAGAAAACGGTGAGAACAGTGTCGTCATGCGTGTGCCCATGGGCAGCAACCGTGAGCCAACGCAAATTTGGCTCTTAAATGAATACTCCCATGGTTTCTTACCAAACTTTTCCATTCTTCTGGAGAAATCTCTATACTGGTAGGGACTGATCACACAAAGACTCCCTACACCCACTGAGATGCGGATGTCTCGCCTTCCCCTTTCGTTTTAGCCCGTATTCTTCGCAAAGTTTCTAAACAGCTTTCAGCATGGAAGAATGTGGTGGTAGTTCACTTATTTTGAACAACATTTCCACCCTCTTTGGAAAGAAAAAGTCCTTGGAAGACCTGCAGGAGCCCCACAGGAGCCCTGGCTCCCACCGGGTTTCTGGGGGCCCGGCGGAGACGGCGTGCCGGGGAGCCGCTGCTTCTCTTGGCCTGGGCGAGGGGTGACGGCTCCAGCCATTCAGCTGAACTCAGCAGGAGGCACCAGAGCAAACGCTTCTCCTTTCTGCAGGAGTCGGGAGGCACTGCCGCACGCACAGAGGCGAGACGCAGCCCATGGGCGATGGAAACCCTGCCTCTCCCCAAAATGATGTACCAACAGGCAGAGGAGAGATCCAAACCTGGCCTTTCTGAACTACCGTTTCTGGCCCCCACGCCCCCTTCAATCACTGATCGTGATTATGGACCGATCGGTTTAAAACCATCCTTCTTCAGGCGAGAATTTCTCTTTACTAGGGAAAATTTAGAAGCAGACAGCAAAACCAGATCAATTCAACGTGCTCTATTAAGCAGCAACTTGACGCCACGGTTCATTAGCTGAGGAGCGTCCATTGACTTTCAAGCTTCACTTCTGTGGATGTTTAAACCGTTCCACTTATATTTATAGCACTTCACAACCTGTTTTATTAAAGGATATTTAAAACCGGTAAAAAAAGAATCTAAACAGTATTAAAGAAACTTATCAGCAACAGCAGCATATCCTGTATTATTCTAGAAAACATTAAACTGACCAACAGAAAAATTAAACTAAAATAAAAATCCTAGACCATGTAGAATAATGAATACTAACCTGAATTTTATTAGTTTTGTCCCAATTATTTTATTAGAATATTAGAATTATAGATTATTAGAATTGTACAATATTATATTAGAATTATCTTTATTAGAATAAACTATCCTGAATTTTATTGGTTTCATCCCAATTAAATTGTATAAATTACTTCAACAAAAAAGCCAGTTTTCATTTTATAGTCTTATACTATAGATCATGATGACAGTAACCAGCCTTTCTTTTTCATATCACTCTCCTCTCACCAGCCCCTCAGAATGTTGACAGGAATCATATTTAAGCTCAGTTTTATGAATGCTGCTAGTGGAAATAAGTCTGTGGGAAACAATACATCATTCTATAAACGTACACATCTAGAGAAAACACTGCTCTTCACGCCACTTTTGACATAGAATAAGTTCTTTAAAATTTTATAATGATACATGTATAACAGTTTTCAATGAAATACGTTACTAGTTACTGATGACATGAAATAAAGTGGACCAAAATAAAACAATCATAGAAGTTTGCAGGTTAAAAACCAGAACGAAACAAGAACTGTATCAAGAATTTGATCTCAATTGCCTGTAAACAGTATCCAAGAAATCAAAGGGGCACGTTAGGACTAAGAATTCTTCTTATGAGAACAACCCTCTGTCATCATAACCCCAACAAATTTCCTAGGTAACGGTGAATGAATTTAGAGCTCAGCCTGCTAAAAACTTAATGGTTAAAGGAATATAAAAACTCCCCCCCAAATAAAGTGAATAACTCGGAGGTATTGATGTGGCTCCACAGGTTATCGTGCAGCACCTGAGCTGTGCTGAGTAGCTCTGTGCATGCTGTCAGCCTGCATAAAGCCAACGAAAGGTAAAACCCCATGGCTAAAACTTGAAGAGATTTGAGTGTATGGATAAAGTATACATGAAGAGAAGCACACTACCTGCAAGCTGAGCTATCTAGATAGTCCAAGCTGTGTTAGGGCATTACTGCGTCCCAGGCAAGACCCTCTGCAGCAGGGCACTGAGTCAGTACAGCATCGCACCTGCAGTTACCCGAGAGACAGACTGCAACCAGCCTTCTCAAAAACCAGGCAAGCACTGAAACAACTCTGAAACTTTCTGTACATACAAGTCTCATAGAAGTGTTTACATTAACCGGTTTCTCCTCACATTTGCAGTACAAGAATACAGTTAGCAATTCAATTGCTTATCTTAGCTCTAAGGAACATGACTCCAGCTAAACAGAATTTCCCCAAGCGCTATAAAGTTTTAGGGGACTCCTGCAGACTCTTGGATAACCGACCTACTTATAGGTCAGTTTTATTTATATTTTATGCAGTTATGAAGCTTTCTAAAGTTTCTCAAGTCTGAAGGATAGAGTATCCTTCTCCCTCTGCCCCTTCCATTAAGTTCCAGCAGCTGAGGAACTCCACCTCAAAACTCCCAGGGGAAAATGCACTGTTACTGCTCTTCCACCGGCTGGCTGGAGGGGAAACAAAGTTTGGAAAGAGAACCTCCAAGTAGTCACAGCAACTTAACACTTCATTTTCATCAGTTCACGCTTAGAAGTACGAACAGATACAAACCTTGTGTGTTCTTGAAGGACATAATAGCCTGCCTGTAGGGATTCGGCATATCTGGAGCATCGGTCAGATTAGCCAAGACCAGCAGAAGCAGCAGACTCTGGTTCGCGAGAGGGGAGCACTGCTCCAGCTGTGGCGTTGCTTTACTCCCCACCCCACCTAGCGTGAAGACTGTCCACAGGCCAGCTAGAGAGAAAAGGCAAAAAAAAAAAATTATTATGTGTGTTCACGTTTTAATGAACAAAGCTCCTCTAGAGGAAAAGACAGCATCTGACACACAGGTAGAGAGAAGAGGGAAAAACAATTCACCTCCGTGCAATGAGACGAAAGGTCTGGCTACTTGATTTCTCAAAATGAAAATTTCAGGAGTAACACAGCAGTGGGCATGGAGTGGTGGGAATTAAAAGATTACTGGAAATTCAAGAAAATTAAGTCACATGAATATATGAAAAGGAAATTAGGAGAGGTGAAACAAAAGCATGTTTGAAGGGAAGAACCTTAAACACAGAGCAGATACCAGCTGAAGGATTCAGCAATCCTGATAATGCTAACATATTAAGGGAGGAAAAAGAGCTTGTCTGTTGCCTTTTTAATAAAACCAACTTGGTCCATCATGCAGCATTTTTCTCATGTATTCTACTTTTAATATAGTCAGCATATTTTAGGCAAAACACAGTAACAAAAACTAATACTGCTTAAACTAGAACCTCCATAGTGAGAGTCCTGTAGAGATCATCATCATTGCTCATTATTGTGGGTAGACAACATAATAGCAAATAATAAACTTCTTGGAAAAAAAAAGACAAGATCAAGAGCAATTTAAATTTAAATTTTAAAGTATTATTAAACTCAGCCTCCTATTTTTGCATTCCTACAGAAAATGAAATAACTTCAAAAAGCACTCCAGTTGGAAGTACTTACACCACTCTGAAATTCCTTTTTAAGAGATTGTACATAAGATGTAAAGGTATGGAAGTACCAACTGTTTACAATAATTTGAAGTTAAAAATCCAGTTAAAAAGAAATAAAAGTTTGAAGTGACAAATCACTATTGATACTGTCAAAAAAACAGACTGATTCATTCCTCTTGGGCAAGCAAGTTTTTGTTGTCTCACAACTGCGTCAAAGATACTCACGTAACAAAGCACCAAAACTTCATTCATTTTAGACCTGCAAAAATTTATTAGGTACAAAAATGTAAATAGCTCATCATTCCACACCAACTCTCAGTTCTTTGCTCGTGAACTACAACAAAAATGCATGTTAGCATATGCTCCCCTTTACCTAGGTGTATATGCATGTGGTGCATATACAGCTCCAGTATTAAGGCATAAAGTTTAAAGCCACTATAAAGCACCTGAAGGCTGCTCATTAAAACTCTCATTATCATACCGTTTAAACTTTGATGTTTGAGCCTGAAATGCAGAGTCATTTTCATACTTAATCCTTACCGCATTAAAAAAATTAAGTCCAATACTAAACTACTGCATTTGAAATTCCTGTTCCTAATTACAGCAGTGTTGGTGAACCAAGCTGACCAACTACGTGCCCAAATAGCGATTAAAGGAGACTGGAAGGAAGAAGGAGCAGCAGGGGAGGATTAGAAGACTCCCCTCAGCCATCTCCAGCAGATCCATAAAGCCTTTTTCCTTGCCACCGCTCATGAGACTGCAAGGATAAAACTTGCGCTCCCCATGGCTATGGTGACACGACAACTTCAGTGTCACTGGGCCTCTACCTTTATCACATCTGGGCTCCTGATACATTCCCAGGTGATAAGAAGCAGCCCCTCCCAATCACATTGGATTATATTTGTCCCCAAATGCCTGTTTAGCAGTTAATTTTTTTGAATGTATCTTGAAATTTTATGGCAGACACCGAGCATTTCATCAAATTATTCATTTAATAGGTCAAAGTCTTGAATTACAGAGCACAAAAATAAGAAATAATCTTAACTTTAAAAAGACCCTAAAGTTCTTATTTCCTTTTTTTATTAATGCCTAAATAAAAAAATTAATTATAGCACAGTTTCTTAAAGAAAACAGAAAAATTAAGGAAGTTTAGTTTTCAATGTTCTAGTCTGCAAGATTCTAGGTGCAAAGAATAAAAGAAAAAAACCTGTAAGCCATTTGAATGCAAAACATAACTATAGCATAACCAATTAAAAGAATTTAAAGTACTCTTAGCCCTACAGAATTTCAAGCCAGCCAAAGAGTATTTTTCTGCAAACGTAATTATACAGTCAGATTTTGTAATAAACCAACATTCCCTTCATCAACACAATTGCAAGCCAATTACTGCCATGTCAAGGGCAAAAGAACTAACGCCATTCAGTGTTAAGCAGCTTGAGGGAGTTCGTACAATAAAAAGCACTATAATTACAGCCTTCTTAACAAAAATTTCATGTTACATTAATAATCCTTTATCACCGTGTTTTTGATCCACTGTCCTCAAATCACAACGAAGCCGAATAAAAATGCTGACCACAAAGTTAGCTTTTAAACTCACGTGAGTTATCCAGATAGGTAACATGCATAGAAATTATTTCTTAAAAAACGGAAGTAACCATATATTTATCATCATGTGTTAAATGAATTCAAATTCGGCACATTTCCTTTTTTACAGTTTAGTGTAGTTCTCATTTTTAATTTTCCACCACCCCACCCTTCTGTGGCTGGCATCTGCCATTACTACACCTTTCCTCAATAGTTAGGAAAAGAGGGATATGGCCAAAATACTGGCAAGTAAGTTGAATCTTCCACCAGGGAGAATGAGGTAATTATGTCCAAGAGAAAACTGCACAGTGATATATGACCCAAGTAACCTCCTGAAGTTCTGTCTCTTGTTGGCAAGTGTATTCCTCCAGAAAAACAATCCCATGCTAATGGGTCCATAATATTCCTTTCAATTCCAAAATGCAAAGTCACATTAGGTGCTAAGTATTGGATGGTGCTCCCAACATACTCAAGTTAAGAGACATTTCTAAGGAAAATATTGTTTCTTATCATTAACAGCAGATTAAAGTGCTAAATAGATAAACAGCTTGGGAGGACAGAGAGACAAGCAGTCAGTGTTTCTAATTGTACTCTGTACGTTCACAATATTTTAGATATCACTTTGCTACACCTGGTTTTACATTTATGTATATTTCAAAATTATTAAGCTATATTTAAGATTTTAACAAGCAAAACAAAAATAATTTATGCTGTAATACCTTAGAAGCTCTCCTCGCTATATTTTTTTTCTGAGGTTACAGTTAACAGAAAACATATGAATATACAGTGATACAGAAAAAGTAGCCAGAATCAGATTTCAGATTCTGTTTCTTCAGAACACCACAGAAAAAACAGAATAAAAGGAAGAAAATCCCATGTTTAAAATTCCTGTTTAAGCCAACAGGATAGCCATAGGTAGCTCTAATTGTAGTAATGCTGCCTGGCATCATTAAAAGCATGGAATGAAATCTGCCTAGACACTTCAACATATAGTGCTTGGATTTCTTCCACATTTAAATTTCACTTTAAATTTCATTTACTCCTATTCTCTTGTCATTTTAGTATATATCCCACGGGAAATGCAAATGACAGAAGTTTTCTTAAAGCCTTCTGTATCTCTGGGCAGTGGCAAAGATGAGCCACAACTCTCAAAACTATACCACTGAACTGTGAAAAGGATGAAGGGGGCAGATTGCCTGCAATAGCATCACAACCCAAAGTGCTTTGGAAGCTACAAACTCTGAAAAAGCTCTACATGACCAAATACTACCTTTTGGGTGCTAATTGTAAGTGATGGAGTTAATAATCCATAAGCTTAAAACAGTATCCTCAACTGTGTATGTATTTGGATCACTTGATTCCACCCACAGAATTTACTGTTTTCTGCAAAATACTTGTAATCTACTTTTAATTGCAATTCTTTAATATAACTTTATTTCTTGATGCAATTCCACATGGAACCGCATTCTTAGAATTTTTGTCAATTAGCAAAATATTAAAATTTTGCTGATTATTTCTGGCAAATGCACAGATACTTTGAGAAGGAACAGACTGCTGTTACCTTTAAAACGAAATGGGCCGATCCATTTTTTCCTTCTCTTCCACAAAACTACCCATCACAACTTTTTTTCCCTATTCATACAATTCCATGTAAGGCACGGCAAGAAAAGCAGGTCTTGCTTAAGAGCAAGGTATCTTTTTTTTGCAATAGAGAATCTGAGGTCTTCTGTAAGATGGCTAGAAACACTGCCCATAGCCATGAAAACAAACCCAGGATTTTAATCTAGTTTGACAGTCTGTGGAACAACACTTAATGGCAAAATGAAGTTATGACACATTCATCTAAAAAGAACTTTCTTTCACCAGACTGTTATTTAACGTAAACACAATTCTGCAGAAATCTCAGCCTAACGCTCTGGTCTCTGTTACACAACAAGGAGATACAAATAAGGTTCATGTTTGTACCTACTTGGAGAAGAGTTTAAATGCACTTACTTACAGTTTCATGTGACGAAGCAAAATTTTAAGAGCTTGATTTTAAAGACATTTTAAAACCAAAAGACAGGTAGGAGTGCAGAGGATACTTTAAAATTTTACTCTCTATAAAGCATTGAAATTTATAGCCAACTGAACTTCTAGCATGCATACCATTATTTCAAGTTAGTGTATCAACAAACTGTGAGCTCTCATTGACTTGTGAGCCTTCTTGGGATATTTATTAAACTAGTTGTAATTCTTCCACAAAACCCGTCTTACTTTCCAATCTTCAGTGTACAGGCTTGGAAGATAAACCCTCTGAGCTCTCTCCCGGGAAAGAGCATTAAATTAATGCAGAGGAAATTGGTGTTACTTATTTCAAAGTATCTTTCTGGGAAAAGGAGATTTATTTTTTTTTTATTTAATAGCAGTTGCAAAATGCAATCATATTAATAATTGAACTTCATCAAGTTTTCCTTTGAATGGCCTATCCTTCATTAAGTTTAAACATAGGCATGAAATTTCAATTAATGCTGGCATAGCCTTTTTGAGTATGCTCATTTCTCTCCTCACTGGGCCTTGGTAACAAAGCAGATCCTTTCTCATTCCCCCCTTATACACAACCCCAGTCCTATCATACCTCATTAGCATCCTGCCAATGAGTTTTATTGCTTTTGAAACTATTTTGCAGAGTGAACCGGACTGAGGTGCACC